GCTGTGGACGAAGAGTAAGGGATTCGTCGGAGACATGTTGCACACTTTTGTGGACCGCTCTTAGGCATTCTGAGCACGTTCTAATGCTCCCCTAAACTTGTTAGGAATAATTTAACCTTTACCTTAGTTAACGTTCAGGGTTATCGTTCCTGCTAATCTGCTGTTTGAATGTTTCCACGTTCCGTGCCCAACGGACGATTAAAACAAATAAAAAGGTCAGCAACCCAGCGCGGTTTCTATAGGAGCCCTCGAGATGTAAGTAACATAGTTTCTTTCTTGAGTATGGTTCTAAAGCAAAGCATGGCAGAAAGTTACGATTGAACGTATTCATTTCCTGTCCAGTTGTTTGTAACGCGCTTTACCAACCGACCTATAAATTAGCGGCGTGTAATTTTCTTATTAAATACACATGTTTTATTAAGCAGCTACTTCAGCGTGAGGACCTCTCACGTAACGTTCTCGATCACGCACGTTAAAACACCACGACTCGCTGGTTTTATTGCATAATAGATCCCCGTTTAATAGCGACCCATCTAGGATGCAAAACGCGCCGTTTAACAAAGAATTATTAACTTCGCCTGCCGCTGGGTGCCTTAACAGATTTTTTTTTCTTGCGTTTATTTATCGGATTAGATCGCGTGATGGGTAAAATGTCTTCATACACGAGCACGTAATCGCCTCGGGCCAGAAAATTATCCTCACAAGAAATAGTCTAAAAACGATCTGAAACTATTACGTAACCGCGCGTTAAAAGGTGTTTCGTCTAATATGTTCCTGGAAGCAATCTTAAACGGGAATCTATAGTAACAGAACTCGCGTGAGCGCATAATAATTTTAAATGCGCATGAATATTCAACGGTACACGATTATTATTAAATTCGATCGCTCTGTCACAGAAAGCGTGCTACCTGTTATACCGTACATTGGCCAATGACGATCATTTCCTGGCTACCACCAGTGCCTTTTATGGTTATAGAATTTACATACTCTGATAGCGTTGGCGTTTACGATTCATTTTAACATCAAGATCGATTTGACGTGTCAAAATTAAATTTGATGACATAATATTATCGTATTGATCGTATTTGTAATACAGTAAAATCACGATGTTCTAGAATGTTGTATATTTTTAATTAATTAAAAGTAGAACTAACACTAGACCTAGAACTAGAAACATTTTGGTTTATCCGTGTTTCTCTTCGTACGGCTAAACCCGAATTTTTCTAGTTTTAGGTTTAGTGTTAGTTCTAGTGTTAGCTGTAGTTTTAGTTGTTATTCAGCTCTAAATTGTTGTATACTTTTATTGAACTAAAAGTAGAACTAACACTAGAGCTAGAATTAAAAACATTCTGGTTTAGCCGTCTAAAGACATGTGCGGCTGTAATGGTATCTTTAGTTTTAATCGATTTGTAAAGTTATTGTTCAAATAAATAATTTATTTAATTAAAAAAATTAAATAATGTTACATACTATGTTTTATTCTTCAAAGATAAAACAAGAATATTGAAACTAAAAACGATTCGATGTGATTCACAATCAGTATAGTTAGCAGTAGCCATCAATGTTAAATTATAAGCTTTTTATGGCCACATTATCGTAACGTCTTCGTCTCGTTTCTATATGCAGTGTAATAATACCAACTATTCTTCTAATTTTCTTCGTCTTCTTATATGGATCCGCTGCTATTAACGCGAGAAATATCTCAGTTCTGAGAGTTGCTTCGCCATTCATTCGAAATGGTATTTCTCATTTATTTTAAGCACTGCCTAAGTATGGGCTGTAATCTAAACGACCGACTAGTAAATGGTAAATGTAGTAAAGGAATGTTACTGTACAATCGGTGTTATTACATATACAAGCTATTTAAAATCATTTATTTATAGTTATTTCCGATAAACCGAGAAATATCCAGTCGTTCAACAATCTCAGCTCGATTTTTTGATTTTTTTAATACTGTTTAAAGAGGTACAGTTATATCTCGTTTGGCCTGCCGTTTTTGGACATGACAATTAATTGGTCGCGCAAATTATTGCCGGATCGTTGCACGCCTTCTCGTCTGCGGTGGATGTTTAAAGAAACGTTACTGTAATTTGGGACCGTTAAAAATTTTTTTCAATCCCCACAACAAACGAACCACGACAGATAATGACGATTAAAAATCTTCACTCATAATCAGAAACAGAAAGTAATTAGAAAAATTATTATAAGAAAAAACTTTTTGTTGGCTGTCCTTAATCATTAATAAAATGCCTCTGGAAGTAGCTGTCCTATAAATCCACTTTCTTCATCATCCGTTTCCGTTTTTTCATCACATCGATTCACAACACCGATTTTCTCCTCGATTTCAGTGGCACACGATTGCCTCTTAACTTCAGAAAGATAGCGAAATCAAGTGCTGGACAGATGGTGTATGAATCGATTTCTCTTGCAATCTTCTTTACAGAAATGGGTATCTAGGTATGTTTCGATTAAATTGTGGTGCATGTGTGTTCATGAACAACGCTAGGTCGTAAATCCTTGCAGAATAGGAGTGTGTTTTTTTTTGTTATCCCGTTTCCGCTCATTACTTTCGATGTTTATCTACGAGCATAAATTGGCGTCCGTGTTAGCCGACTCGAGTACATCATTCCAAGAAGTTCCGATCTTGAGATACGACAGATACGTTGAGCTATTTGAAGAGGGAACTCTTGTCGGTACCAAGACGTTCGATTTGCAGTACTCGTCCTGTTACCATCTCTTACGTAATCTTGTTATGCCGTCGACGCCTAAGGTGCACGAAGAATTCCTGACGTCCGTTCAAGTACAAGAAATTTTATGGTTTTTTTTCTAAAAAGACCAAGTAACTGTACCGTTTAATCTTAAAATGACAGGTTGTGCGGTGTAATCTCATAGGTGCATAGCCCGAAGCTTTTTAATAATGCTTGGTTACAAGACGTGCAACTAACCGACTGATTGTTTGGGCTGCGTATTAATTTAACGGTACGTTAAGTGCAAATAAAATCATTTAGTTCTCGAACAGCCTTTAATGGCAGAAATAAACAAACCACCTGAATCTTGATGACCGTGGCGTGGTCAGAGCTGACCTCGATCTTTGCAAGCTTTCAATTAGCTTTAATTTTTTGTTTGTACCATTATTGATTGTTATTGATATTATTAACATTTTCATTGCTAAGCAGAAAATAATAGCAAATATAAATAAATTATTTAACGTATCGAAGCTCATTTGCTCCAAATGGATTATTTCAACGCGAGATGAGAGGACGAACTCTAGGACTTCATTAATCACACGGGGAGTTCTTACGGACAGTGCTTTGCGTATACACGTAAAGTTCATTAGCTCGTAATCAGCGTATTTCTATACGTATTTATAAGCCGCTACCGTCACAGGTGAGATTCTAATTAATATACCCGGTTGTGCCCGCACAAGTTGCAGCGAGTCTCTATATTTAGATCCGCCGGGATAATAAACAAACAAAACGCCTTTCTGCTGGACCAATGTATTAACAATGATGTGTGTTGCCCAACCCACAACTAGAAATGAACTCTTTAAATTATAATACAACATTGTAACGTAACGTTTTTCTCTTTTTGAAAATGATTTATAAGTGGGTGTTATTAAAATTAAAGCAACAGTTGTTTAAAATCTTGATCACGTTTAAACCCCGCCATATGGTGACCCATAACAGTACACGAGCCGCCTAGCGTGAAAAATCGTTAATAATGACGTCAGTATTATCATGACAATCGATCCTTTTCCGGATGAGTTAATGAATCAAAATAGCCCGGAGTTTATCGGGATCAACGGTACATAGATGTGATGACAAGGGCAACGGTATGCCACTGGCTCCCTCATTGTCAGAGTAGTCTACGCCCATTTTCTTGCGGTAAAACGCGTTTGGTTTTCCGCGGCGCACCTTTGAGGCCACCGCAGAAGAAACTAATGGATCTACAACCCAAGACGAAATTGAATCTTAATAGCTTTCGATTGTATCCATAATGTGTACGGCTGTAAATACATCGAAAGTACTAGAGGTAATCGATTAGACCAATAGATCAATGAGCAACGGGTTGCAATTGAATTAACACTTTTGTTATAAAAGGAAGGAAATCAATCAAGTTAACCGTTAGATCTTGCAGCTGCATCCACAATGTTTCTATCTTCCTCATATACATTATACGTTACAATAAATTAATGAAAATAATTTTTCTTTTCATACATTTAATTAAACGGACTCAAAAAAGTTATTCAACAAGGCATATCAAAATGACTTCTATTGCACTCAAGAGTATATATTAGCGCTGATCTCCCTGTCCTTCGGGTAATTACTAAGTTTAATGCCCACACCAATTAAGCAAATAACGAAGAAGACGCTTCTTTACGTCTTGGACAATATCATCGCGTTAGGCTCGCATGTCGAGCCCGCATGTCATTTTCTGTAATTACTCTCTTCGCGTATGGATGAACACCTCACAACAAACACGTGAAATAAACACGTTAAGACCCTGGTAATTGGACCGGGCGGCGTGCAAAAGAACAATGGCGTGTTCGTGATTATCTTGACGATAGGGTTCGAGACTCATCGTGTTGTTAATCTTTTTGAAAGAATCTAGATCGCGGTCGCAAACAATTCAATTAGCATAAACGGGTGTGTAAATACGGTTTCATTTAGACAAAATGGGTACCGTTACGCGTGATTTGCGAATTTTTCTCGCTAAACGTCTACTTATTTGATTAGATTAATTAGAACCAAAGAAGTGAAGGTGGACTTAGTTGCGTGCTAAGATCAACGACCAATATCTGGTCCACTATAACTTCCTGATATTCACTGATTGCCGATAGCGGGGAGGCAGGACAAAGCAAGCTTGTGGGTTTGGTCTAATTAATGGTCACGATACTGTCTCGAACGTAAAAATTACTTGTGCTCTAACGGCACCTATTAAGATACAATAGCGATAAATAATCTGTAATAAATTTTCCCGTTTTTTTTTTGCTGTTTCAGCAACTTTTGGTATACGAGATTCATCGTGTCCAAGGATATGCACACAACAGGCGTACGGAGATCCTGTGTGTGGCTCGGATGGTGTCATATATCCCAACATATGCGAAATGAAGAAGAAAACGTGCGGTAAAGGTAAATTACACCTTCTCAAATATCGCTTTTCTTTATGAAACCAATTTAAAATATCGTTTTTCAGGGATTAAACTTTCCACAGATTCAGGTGTTTGTCAAAGATCTCAAGGTTCAAAGTGCGACCATAAGTGTGGTACAGAAAAAGACCCCGTTTGCGGCACGGATGGCCGCACATACCTGAACAGGTGCATGCTCCAGGTCGAAATATGCAGGTTCGTGACGAGATCCTTTTTAATTTCACGCTTTCGGGCACGCTAAGTGATACAGGCGACCTGGTAACTGTAAATCGAGGTGGATTTCCAAGGGGATCGCGTTTCAGTAACAAAAACCCGACGTAAATAACGGAGGATTAACCGTATTAATAACTTCGACAAGAAACCGATAGATCTGGTTACAAGACATGCAAATGTTACACGCATTTTAACTTTCTTCTTTTATCTTTTAGCTTCTTTTCTTTATCATTCGTTTTCTTTTAGGGTTGGCATCGATCTATCCCATTTAGGTTCATGTAACAACATAAGTGCACACAGAGAAAATTGTCCAATCGATTGCAAATTGGCTCCTCAAGATGGGCCTATATGCGGTAGCGATGGAAATGTTTATAAGAATACTTGTCAAATGAAATTACTCACTTGTGGGTAAGTTAACTTTATAATAAAGGAAATTGATTTTATTAAAAAAAATTTTTTTTCTCATTAAACGTTATTTTTAGCCAAGGAGTAGTTAGGACTAACAAGAAATACTGTCAAACAACAAGACATTGCAGAGAGGTTTGTTGGAGATCTAACAAACCAGCTTGCGGATCGGATGGTAAAATTTACGCGAATGTTTGTAAGATGAAGACGAAGAACTGCGGAAAACATGTATTCGAAGTCCCAATGGCTTTCTGTACGATGCAAGAAAGACATTCCCACTCTTTAAATTGTCCTATTAGTTGCGTTAATGAAGTCGAGAAGCCTACTTGCGGTTCGGATGGATACATTTACAAAAACGAGTGCGAGTTAAGGCTACTCAATTGTGGGTAAGGCAAAAAATATTAACCTCTTATCAGCTCAAATAAAACGTCCTTCTATAACGAGAAATATTTCTTTTAGAAATAATCGCAAAGTCCTTAAGGTTGATTTGGATAAATGTAAAGCTAGATTATCAAAGTGTCAGAAAATTCAATGCAACGAAGAACAAGATCTCGTTTGTGGTTCAGACGCAAGAACTTATATCAATCAATGCCAACTCAATCTAGCCACCTGTTTAAAAGGAGTACAATTAGCTCATGTAGGAAATTGCACTTCTTTAAGAGAACCGACTCCATGTCCAACAAATTGTGACCATGTTGAACCACAACCAGTTTGTGGATCTGACGGAAATGTCTATAGGTAAAGAAATACATAATAATAATTACTTATTTTCATTTCTTATATTTTCTTCCAGATCTGAGTGTGACCTAAAAAAAGAAACATGCGGACAAATCGTAGTTGAAGTTCCACAACAACATTGCAGAACAACAGCACTTTGTAAAGATACATGTGACGATAGCGTCATTCAATACGTGTGCGGTTCAGACAATAAAATTTATAAAAGTGAATGTGAAATGAAGAGAACAAATTGCGGGTAATTTTCAATCACATCATCTTCAGTTATTATTTTCAAACGTAAATTATTTCTTTTAGGAAACACATATTTGTGGTACCCATGAAAAGATGTATAGCCGGATTTATGTTCCGTGGATGCCAAAAAATATGTCCAACTTACTACGACCCAACGTGTGGTTCAGATAGCTTAACTTACAGTAACAGTTGCTTCTTGGAAATCGAAACGTGCAGAACTAAAGGAGAAGTAACCATGAAACATTTGGGAACGTGCGCAGAACCCATCAAAGAAGTCCCGAAAAATTACTTATACTAAAATTTACCCTTAAAACGCACTTCGAGAGGACATAGAGAGAATTTTTTATAACAAATCTTGCCCCACATATACCAGTAGGAACAGCGTTTGTTTCTTTCGTAAAGAGGCAACGACACACGTCGATATTTACATTTATCAATCGAAGATAATGTACGTGTATGTAAATGGATATAGAGTTTTTGTGCCAATTGCCGATATTGTACCGCGTATTAAAACTTTTTATTACGATTGTTTCTATCATTGTAGCTAGTTAACGATAGGATTTCCAAACCCACCGTGGAGCGTATGCAGGATTTACCTGCAATGTTATTTATTTGTATTGCTAATATTATTTTAGTGCTAGTGTTGTAACCGAGCTGTGTACTTTAGTGTATTTATCAAAATATACTATATTTAAAACACACGATAATCTTTCTTATTATTTATTATACTAATGAAAAATAGTTAAAAAAATAATTTTAGTACTATACCTTAATTGTCCTTTCAAATCTCAAAAATTCTTTCAGATTTCCAATTATAAAAAAGAATTAATTTCATAATCCGAAATACCAATGGAGTTAATAGATAAAGTATAGAACTTCATAAATTACAAAACATCTTATTCCATTACATGAGATTTGTATTTTTCTGATAAAGGGCCCCAGTATAACCCAAATTTTCTGGGAATTATGTGGCTATTTCAGTTCACCTTATTCATATAAATCATAAAAATGGGCAAATTGTGATTAAGAACTTTCACAAATTTCGTCATGAAACCTAACTTTAGATGTAAAGAAGAGAGGATAATTTTATTTCCATCAACTAACAGGTTATGAATAAGATTCCTTTCTACAAGAACCCTACTTTCCCTCAAAGGTCACTCTTTTTAATTCCAATGACCTCATTTGGATCTGTTGTACAAAAAGCAGAGAAACTTTGTATAGCTACTTTGTTGGCCACTGATAAAATTTACCATTTTTGGGTCTTCACATAGAACTCAATAATATTGGCCTATTTTACTTGCTCACCAATGCTGTACCGTCATACGATTCATTAATTTTGGTTGAGTGAGCAATTAGAATTATACATATCTAAAATATTAACAAATTTCTTAAGTTTTGGAGTCCGTATTTTAGCCGTAATTATCTCGAGACTCATAATAAAAGGCGATGACGTAAATGAAACCTGAAGAAACATAACAACATACATAACGTACATAAAGTGCAATGAAGTACTGAGAACTGGAAAAGTTAACATAGATGAACGGAAAAATGAGAAGCCAAGGTTCGCTGAGGAAGTGAAGGTATTTCCGGACTGAGAGAAACCAGTACCAGAAGTTACATCAAGAAGTCCCTGCGCAAGCAAATAAACATGAAAGAATGTCAAGCTATTTGAAAGACTTGAGCAGGAGAAATAAATTCATGTCAACAGAAGGTAAAATTGGTCGGGCTGAGACTTATAAAGCAAAAAGCATGGTTATATGTATTGAAATGAGAGCATTGCGATCAAAAACAACTTGCTCTTTCAAATTCTAATTCAACCCAAGTTCCTAAATCTTTTCCAAAGATGGTGAGTTGACCGGTTTAGAATTAGGCAGTATTGCTACTTCTGCAAAACCTGTTATATATTTGTGGCACGATATCTTACTTCTCTCTAAACTCTTAGGTCTGTTGTTCCTAACAAGGTCTGTCTCTGAAATATCTCCTAATAAGTTGACTGTTAGCTGTCTTTCCATCTCTTTAGTGCTCTGGTTCCTGGTATTTTCGGCAGTCTGTGTCTGGATCTCGAATTGATCTCTGATGTTGAAGTTATTAATTCCGTCCCATCTGCTCCTTCCTAAGACTATCATCAGAGTCTTGATTAAAGAATGAAGCAAAAGTGGCTTGCTGACGAGGTACTGCCTAGATTGGGATCTTCTTTGTCTTTAGATTGTTATGCCTCGGCTTCATTCTTTCAAATTAGCAGAAATATGTCCTTAGTATCTCAATATACAATGGTTACTGATATTACAAAGTCGAAACGTTTTAATTCTCCATCTGATGGAATGAAGTTTCTGATGCTGTATATTTATCATAAGTCATAACCTAAATTTTAGAAAAATGGTTGTCAACTATAAAAAATCGCGCTGAGGTTAAATTTGAAGATGGAGAGATGGTTTTTAAATCAAATTAAAGCTTAAAGTATCCTCTATAAATTGATGTATAACACTTTATTACGTATTAATAACTTTGGTTCAAAAACAATTTTTAGTAAAATGCTGTATTTTTGACATAACCTAAATTAAAGAAAAATAATTGTCAACTTTAAAAAATCGCGCTGAGGTTAAATTTGAAGATGAAGAGATGATTTTCAAATAAAATTAAAGTTTAAAGTATTCTCTTTAAATTGATATATAATACTTCATTACTTCTTTTTAACTGTCGTTCAAAAATAGTTTTTACGAAAATGCTGTATTTTTGACACAACCTAAATCAAAAATAAATATCTGCTAACTTTAAAAAATCGTGTTTTTTTGCTGAAATCTGCAAAAAAGGAAAATCTATATCAGAAGCACTGAAACTGACATATTTGCACTATTATGGATTTGTAGTAACTGAGCAAGAGAAGACATGGGCTCCACACGATTTTTGAGATGAGTTTTGAGAAGATTTTAGTGTGATGGGTTTCTTCCAGTTGGGATTCCAGTATTATGGCAAGAGCCCATGAATCACGAAAACAACTGTTACCTTTTCATGACTCGGACCTCAGGTTTTAATTTCAAAAACAAACATAAAATTGTTTATGTTGATACAACATATATCACAAACCCAATTCTTCATTCCGAAATTCTATCACATCGTGTTTGTACAGGTATGTCAAATAATGAAAATATCGAGAAGGAAGGGTTTGTTGATGTCGAGTCTGATGAAAACGATAAAAACCACATTTAATAACCAAAGTGAACCTAAATATGAATTTTGCAACAGTGGATTACTTCCAATACGCAAGTAGCATATTACAGAAGAGAACTTTTACGTCTACCATGACATACCAGGACTTTTCATTGCTATGGATCAAGAGTATAGCCCAAACGATTTGCAGTTATTCATCAATTAGTCCAAACATAACTTAAATGTTAAATTTAAGTGTAAATTTTATGTTACATCTTTTCGCTGGGCGTCTGCAATACTTGATCGGAAGCTGTCATGTTTGGTGTCACTGCGAGCAATGCTGTATCGTTTGCGAACGTAGCCAGTGTTATTTGGTGTTGGTCTAGTCTAATATATCACAGATATAGAGAACATACAGTAGAGACCTAAGGACTCTTCCCTAAGGTACTCCTGCTTGCACTTCCAAGTTCGTAAGTTGGCTGAATTCACTTATAAATTGCATATGGATGAATTCGTTCAAATTCCACTAATCGAAATAATCTTTAGCATCACGAACAGAGTATTTATACGACGATAGGGCGTAAATAACAGACAAAACAGAGTGGATGTAGAAGATAAACAGGGGCAAAATGTAATATGTTCCCTGAATATAATATAATTAAAGTGGTAAGATATGAAGCGAAAATGATATATTTGAAAGGCAATGAAGTAGTAATAAAGATAATGAAACAACACTAAAGGAAGCCGGACAAGAATCTAGTTTTCTATTTTACTGCTGATAGTATCTAGCCATTTCCAAGTCATCTGTGAGCAGTATCTAGTCTTTTATCTGTAGTATTTGGTTTCTGTAAGTAGTCTTTTTCTGGCGGTATCTAGTTTTCTGCCAAAACACCAGACACCTTTTGGCAGTTTTAGTGCTCCATTGGTAGTACCTAGTGTTCTACTAAGTGTTTCTCGTGCACTGCCAGCAATCTTTAGACTTCAGCGATTAGTACCAAGTCTTCTAGCAACAGTATATAATCTTCTACATACACTATCAAGTCTTCTGCCGGCAGTTTATTAAGTCAGTTTATTTAAAATTATAGTAGTACTATATATTAGACATTATTGTAGGATTATTCCGAAAGTAAAGTTGTAGGTGTGTGAAAATACGATATTCAAGCCTGATGGTAAAGTGCATCTTTACAAAGTGTGCAGCAAATCTGTGTCATCCGAGAAAATATTTTCGGTAAAATAGCATTTAGTAAGTATAAAACATATAGAACTTGAACAGATGCAACGACAAGATACATACGTGGCAAATGTTATCATTGATAATAAGTCAGTCATAAAAAGTATTTTGAGACATTCAATAAAAGCATGATTTTACTCTTTGTATCAGTTGCTACTCCCTACATGGTAAAAGCAGACCATACCATGCACTGCTTTCAGGTACTTGTCTTGCACACGGAGTTCATGGTGGTTGTAAGCAAATTGGTATGTCCTAACTAACGTCTATTGCCAATGTGAAGAGAGTATTTTTAAAAGCATCATCAAGAGTTGCAATTGTTTTGCAAATGTTAAGGCAAAGAAACATAATACAAATATAAAAATGTATATTTATATAAAGCAAACCTACTGTTGGACACTGTTGTTAAATTTAAATAGTCATTCATGTGACCACTAGATGACGCCACTGTAATAAATGAAATTTCAATTTTGCATGGTGATTTTAAAGTTGCCTATACACAAGGGTGTTACTAAATTGTAAAAGATCGAAATTAGTAGGATAGTTAGTGTAATTTGTAGAGGTCAGCACAATCGTCGCTAGTATTTGACAACAGTTATCAATAAGATCACACTGTGATCTCGCGTACCAAAACCAAACTAAACACACTTGTTTATTCAACTTGAACTCTTGCCATGTGCCCTTCGAAATGATGACCTCGAGAGCTGCGACATCGAAGGAGTGATAGTAAATCAACAAATCGCGCGCCCTAACCTATATTATCGCCATATTAGGTAAGAACTTATTTTTAAATCTCACTTTCGCCCTCCAAATCGATCATCAGATTTTTAGTATCGCTTTTGTTTTTCATTGTGTATGAAAGTTGTCTACATTGAATATAATAATAACTTAAGTAAGTAAAGCTAGTAAAGTAATAATGAGAGTAATGTAAGAATATGTATACATTTTCGTTGAAAGTTCTTAACGGAGTGATTAATTAAAAAATGTATGAGCCAATTGGCAAGATCACGCCGAAACACTTAACCATTTGTTGTTTAACAACCAATAATTAAGGACGTAAAGATCTTATAGGGATTTGACTCTTTTGATGAGGTCAACAGTTTTGATTATGGTTCGAGGACGTTTCCATTAACATTTTTGCTTGCCCTGCACACACAACATACGCGCGAAATGAGACCGCGTGAATGTACTATATTTATATACCAGACAATTTTGCGGAGCTTAACTTCTTTTCTACGTCATGTAAGGTTAGTGACGTCTTTTTTGCGAATTTCTTGCCAAAAAGAAGGTACCAAGATACTACCACCAAAAAATAGATTTTCTCAAAAATAACATTTCCAGCAAAAAAACGAAAACAAGACAGAAATTTATTTTTCTTACTGGATTCACTTAATAGAGAAGCAGCATGTTTTTTTTTAGTTTTGCTTATACAAAAACTGGTTCTTGTGTGTTAAAAAGTTGTTTTATAATTATCTGGTTGTAGTCATAAACACTTTATGTATTGTACTATTTATTTTTTAATGTTATGTTATGTAATAAATATTTAATAAATATTTTACACACTATATCTACTGTTTTCAACCATGTCATGGAGATACTCTACACCAAAATAGGTCTTAAGAGGTTACATACATGGGTTTCGAAAGTGAAAAGACATTTTCTCTATTTTTAGTATGACTCGTGATTTAAAAAATTGAAATATGAATTTACATGCAAAAAAAAATAGCTTCTTTAAGTTGCAAGTGCTTTAGTTTTTGCAGATTCCAAACTTGCGCCCGGCAGAATTATGTTTCGCGACACATAGAATTGTCAATTCCACTTCTATAAAGAAAAGAAACTGATGCAACAGCAATGTCCTGAGCATCCTGTTTGTCTTGCCTGAGATGAATTTTTACTTCTCTATTTCCAGTCTCACCAGTCATCTCAGCTATGGACATCTTTTCGCGCATACTCGTGACTATTTGTTAAGTTTTGTATCCATTTCGTTCAAATTAATTAATTTAGTTGAAACCCTTCCATTGAAAGTACAAGCCTTCATTGTTAATGGTACTGTAAATGTGAAGCAAGTTTGGGTAATGATATTTGTATACGTTTAGATGTGTTTTATTTCAATGGCTAATTTTGGTTTCAATATGGTATTTTGCCTCATGTGCAACTGCATTACTGTGTGTGACGGACAACTAATTGGCCATTTACTATCGGCACAATGGCAGTTGCAGATTTTCAAACATTTCGAAACAATTTAAAATTTTCAACTTATTCAAGGATTCTTGAAATAACTATGCATATTTAAATCTTAACCAAGTGTCATCGGCCACAATTCTTTCTCTATTTCTCTTCAATAACTTATCCTATGAAAAGAATAAGTTCAGACACCTCTCATCAAAATTGTTGTTGTGGTTACTTAAACGTTTAAATTATCATCTTTATACATGAAGATTCCTTTTATATATGTACAGTATGTTCAAAAAGTTGCATATCTACGCAAATTAATGAATAGAATATATTAATGTTCAAGCAGCCTGACCATACCGCATTGACCTTATAAATCCGTTGGAAATAATAATTCGTTTATGCACAACCTCAGTAATTACTGAGCACGATACCTAATCAATAATAGTACCTATATAAACAAACAGTCCATTTGCATACATTCCGTATATTAATTATGCCATTTGTTTACGAGCTTAAAATCGGCGCTGAAATAAACGATAAGCTGTTTTAGAGAATAAACTTTCAAATATCCTTTGACTTTCGACAACTATATCTGCCCAAACACTATTAATTAATGAGGAAATTAATGATATCGTGGTTTGGAATTATCGCTTCATTGGTAAATAAAATAGTAGCAACCACGTTTGTATCTTCTGCTGCTATTATTGGGCACGTTCACTAACGCACCAATTCTTTCCCAGGTTGATTGACATTTCTCAAGTAAACTAACCTTATCTAACATTCTTTCTGGCGATGAGTGACATTTCAAAAGAAAACTGACCTTACCCAACATTCTCTCTGGAGTTGATTGACATTTCTAAGCAAAACTAATCTATATGTCCAGGGGTAACCAGTTCCAAAGGTAACCATAAGACCAGTAATAATACTAGTCCAGAATCATAATCACATGTTATACAACTGCATGTTCTCGTTGATAGTCTAATTTTCTTAAAAGTCCAATTCTGCTTCAGGAGTCGATACTGATTTAGATCGTCCGTCAACATTCCTACTAAATGAATCATATTATCTTAGATATTTATGCATTGCTAATAATTTGTCGAGCGGAAATCCATGATTCGGAAATTCTTCGGAATACAGACGAAGTGCGTCATAAACGTTGATATCGTCACTGCCATACTTGAAATGCATTTTGTTTGGTAAAAGTACAATTTATACATTTTCGTGTTATAAATCTTGAGGATGACACTTTAACATGAAGGGAAATAATTTGAAACAATTAGATAAGAAATGTGGCAACCAATGCCGTCTACAGCTAGGCCTAGAACATATTTGCAGCCATACGCTATTTATTTTGCAAATCGCAAATGTAGTCAGAAGGACTTTTATCTTGCTTATCTACTACTACTACTGCCTTGTCATCAATGGTATGATAGCGATCCTAGTGAATCATAGGCTGTTATAGAAATCGCTATACTATTGTTGGTTTCTTTTTCAGTTATTCTCCTCTATATCACTTTGGGTCTTCCACTTGTCCTGGTCCCAAGGAGGGTTTCATTCTAGGACTCTATAACCAGGCTCATTTATATCTCTCCTCAACGCGTGTCCAATCGATCCGTACTTTTGCCGTTTTATATCAACGTTTACACTAGATGCTCAGTCATTTCCTACAACTAGTGGCCACAATATTTGTAGTATGTACCACAGACGGTGATGAATACCTATAGGTTGATTTTTATGTATTCATAAACGACACGAGCCAGATTACGCATCCAGCTGTAGAGCTTTTTTGGATAGCTATATTTTCAGTAAACGAGCAAAAGGTCCTCTAAGTAGTGTAGCGCCACTATCAGCTGAAACGATACTTCCAAGATAGGTGAATTACAACACGCGCTCTGTGGATGTATGTACCGTAGATCAGTAAGTCAATATTGTTAAGGCGGAATTTGCGTAGCACTGCCGCACAAACATTGTTTAGTATGTCCAAACTTGTGCGCGGCAGAATTGTGTATTGCTATCGCCGCATGTTGTTGCAGCGCAATGTGTGGACACACCCTTAGAATAATTTAGGCGAATTTCGTTCGTTTTATCTGTATTTATTTTAAAATTCATAGTTGCAACCACTTTCTCGAGGTCGCGAACATTATTTTGCATGTCTTCGTTTTACATGAGATAGTAATGCATAATGCTTGCGGTCATTAGCGTAATCCAAATTTTCATGACGTAATCAAGGACCACTATAAATAGCAATGGCGATACTCCACAGTTACTTCATGTTACTAAGATACATTGTTAGGAATCCTATAGTGGTTAGGGTACGCCTAATTTCTAAACAGGCCAAGGCTCGTTTCGGGCTGTAGAGCCATAGATAGATAGATAGATACTCCACAGTTAGTCTGTATTGGTTGACATAACATGCCAGCATGCGAGAATGTACATTTAAATTGATAAGTTGTATAATTTTTTCTGGTACGCCATAGCTAGCCAGAATTTTGTGATCTATTTTATCGAAGGCTTTTTCATAATCAATAAACAGCACATATAACGGAGATTTAAACTCTGATCATTGTTCTATTTTGATTCGGAGTATGTTTATCTGATTTATTCTTGATTTCCAGAGTACGAAATTTGTCTGTTCTTTTCTTAATTGCTCATACAGAAGCTCCATCAATCTATTCAGAATCACCCTCGTGGATATCGTTGCCACATAAATTCTCACTTCTGAATGTAATTGTATGATTGTACCAAAACTTCACTATCCTATCCAGAACTATGGTTGGCATGTTCCTACATGATAAATGTAACCTTATCACATGGATGGTTACCCTTAAAATCAACTACAATAGTTTGTAAATGGTTTAGCAATACTAATCTCAAAGGTTGGCAGCGTTTACTACAAAATTCAGGGAGAAATAAGGTGTAAGCTCTCACTACAACAATATTACTTCATCATAATGGTTATGTCATCTCCAATGAGTAGTTTATTCTTGCACTGTCTTCGGTCCACCATCTACAACAATGTACAATATTACTTTTTAGGATATAACACCTAGACATATTTTAAACCATTTTCAATGTACTTAGTAAATTTAACCTAGTTTACGTTCGAACGAGTGTCTTGCATTCTTTAACATCCAACGTTATGTGATTCTAAAATTTTGAGTCTAATAAATTGCTTTTATAAATCCTACAACCTCCAATGAATCCACAAAATCTTATAATGCGATAAAAAGCGATAATGATGATTCAGCATAAGCCTACATAATATGTACTCTTTGATTAAGTGTTCTTTTATAGTTTCTTGTTTCATAGATATTACATTTCACTACAGTTAAGAAACATGTTTAGCATCTAGACATAAATGTGTTTATAATGAACTTGCAAAGATTAAATTATTTTTTTTTATAAAATTCCTTTAATAAATCTGTCATTACGATAAATTTTATTATACACATTCTTCTCTAATCCACCTCTGATGTTAATTGTGGTTGACGTTGAGGTACTCGTTTTTAATAGACGCTAATCGTATAGGCCTTTGTTTAACCGAATACATTAAATGCGGCTCAACATTTATCGCCGGTCAAACGTCTAAAAATTTGTTTGTTTAACACTTAGATAAACGTCTATAATTACGATAATAAAGGAAAATTGTATCTACTTTATGTCGGCATGAAAAGGTCTTCGGAACTACGGTGTTAAATTTTGTTAACGAAAACTAAATACTAATTTTATTACGATTTTTTTGGAAGAAATTTCAATCTATATTCATGTCTTGAATTCAGGTACGTATGAAGAAAGAAATAAAGGTTGGGGGAAAATTGGAAAATTTAGGAGAGAAGAGATGATCGAATTTAAACGAAGAAAATTGGAGGAGAGTAAACATGGTTTCTATCCAATCCTTCCGGATGAACTTTGCGAAGAAACTCCGTTGGTGGAGGTGTACATCGATGAAATTGCAGATCCAAAAAACATTTCTCGGGTTATTGTAGAGTTAAATTCGATTTTACCGATTGAAGAATTGTCTCATTTAAAAAGGGTAAAATTTCCGTTCATTCTGTTATTTCCAAAAAACCTTTGTGATAAAGATGATGTACACAGCTATCTTAAAAACAAGAAATTTGATACAAATTATTTAAAAAACGATGTTAAAATTGTAAATGTAGCTAAAATTCCGCCAAAAATTAGAAAACAATATGATGATGCGCAAAAACTCTGGCCTTGTAACTTTCATAGCAATAAATACCTTGAAAAATTAACACAAAACACATTATTTAACGACCAAGAAATAAACCAGTACAAAATTTTAATGAAAATGGCTATTGATATTGCTAATCAACAAGATCAAATCAACCCTATTGGAGTTGTGGTTTTTGACCCAAAAATACAATCAGTTGTTGCAATTGGTTACAAAACCGAATTAAGCCCTATGGCTCACCCTGTAATGACAGCAATTGATAACGTTGCAATTACTCAAAACGGTGGGGCGTGGAATCAAGAAAAATCAATAATTGATGAAAATGTATCAAATAGTCTTAATCAAAATGGTATTCCAGAAAATTATTTAAAAATTCTTAAAGATAAATATCCCCACGCAAAATTTGGGGCTACTAATTATAGAAATAAAGACGAATTAGATAATCCTGAAGATGGTCCATATCTCTGCACCGGATATTATGTATTTGTGACCCATGAACCTTGTATTATGTGCTCAATGGCATTGATTCATAGTAGGGCTAAAAGAGTGTTTTTTGGAGTTAAATCTTCAAATGGCGGATTAGAAAGTTTATGTAAAGTACATACTGTAAAAGATTTGAATCATCATTACGAAGTTTGGGGAGGATTATTGGAAGAAGACTGTGGAAAATTAAAATAGATTTTGTACATTTTATTTTTTTAATACTTATTTTAATAAAATGTTTATAATATATATTATTTGTTTATTTTACTTTCTATTTTACATAAAAATATTTATGTTTATAGTTTTAGAATCTTAATTTAAAATCTTGTTCTTCGATAAAGTATAAAAACGTGGGCAGAAACGTATATGCACGTGGAACGATTTTCGTTGGAGAAAATAAGAATGCGTTCACACTCAATAAGCTGTTGACCTTTCACGGTTTGATGATGAGTTTGTTTACGCCAGGCTTGACAGATGTAAAAAGAAAATTACAAATTTTTATCAAAATATAATTTTACTTATTCATTTCTTTATTGGTAAATAAATTAGAATAAAAACTTCAATGACGAAATTAATGAATATTCCCAATCAGAACACGTCACTCTGAATGCATAAAGTAAACAAACAGCTTTCGTTCATTTACATACTGGTTCTTTTAATGGTGCGACCGCTGAATATGCGCTGGTGCTTTCCAGGAAAACACAACCATTTATGCGGGGAAATTACTTAATAGGTTCTAATGAGCGTGGGTCTCCAGAATCAATTATGCGGACGGCAACTCTTGTTATTTACAAGCAACGCATTCTGGAATTGGAGGGAAACGTCCGAGTGATGGCGATGAGGACAAATTATGGAGCATAGACCCAATTGCTCTAAATTTGAATTGTCCCCGGTGAAATGGTCACAAGGTCCTTATTAAGATGGTGTCTGGCTAAATTTCTCATTGAGATCAACACAAAATTAATTAATCCTGAATAAAATGAACAAAAAATTCCATGTCGTCAAGTGAAAAGCGTTTATTCTCTAAAATAACAAAATTTTAATATCCATAGAGACTTTAAATTAGCCTGTACAAACTTCCCATTCCGCACTAAATTTGCACCTCACATTGTTGCTCACTTGGTAATAAAACGACGGACGTCATCCACTCGTAATCCTAAATTACGATAAGATCCGCATCTCCTCAACAATCTCGTTATTATATTCCACAATCCCGGGAAAGAGTAGACGTTCCGGAATTGCAGTTTACGAAAGTATAATTTTCATGATAATTTATATAGTTTAATAGTTCGGCATCATGGCTATAATATGTTGTGTTCGTGTGAAGTATAAAATGAAATCAAGGTAATTTCGTTAATACTATTAGTTTTAAGTAAATAGCTAACCGTCATAATAATCGATGAGTAGTTAGCGTCACCAACCAAAAATCTTTAGTAAACATTCAGCGATAAACGACTGAAGTTTTGCAAACATTTAAAATTTTCGTTAAGATAGGCGTTTATTACTGATTAAGTAGTTGTTTTGTGTTCTAACCTTTAACACTTTATCGTTTTATATTCTAACATGATGACTTACAAAGATATAAAAAGAAGTTAAAGAAAATAATCCAATCACAATAGTAGAAAAAACTTTAATTTATACAGGCTACGAACATTTTCAATTTTGAAGTGTTTTGTATTAAAAATCATATGAATTAAATGATGTTTAACAATTTTCCTTACCCAACACACTTATTGAAGTGTATAAACAACTACAGGAGATCATCGAACTGCGAGTACTCTTGAATACATCAAGATTGAAAGGTTGTGGCGCTGAGCCAACAGCAAAATTTAACACACAAAATCTATATGGTGTAACAAAATAAACTACTGTTACCCAGATTCCTTTGATTCCACATTTCAACTGGTAATCTTTTACCCACAAAATTTAACTTTTTGTAGAATCCATACAGTAATACAGGTTTACTTAAATATCATTCCAATTTTATTATTAATAGAAAATTGAGTAGATTTTAATTTCTTGGTCTGCAGAATAATTTTATGAGCACTATATTTTTATGGTACCTTAAAGATATATTAACGTTTTCTTTCTTTAAGATAATTAGCGATCAACGCTTTCGTCAAGTATCTTGGAGTTCGTGCCAGAACTCTTTATAGTCTCGAAACTTGATTTACTGATCACTTCTTATTACCTTCCTTATTTCTGCTGTTGTAGTCTGGGTGATTTCTCGTTCTATATTGTCAATACTATGGTTGTTCTTCGAAAGTAAATGTTCTGGTTCTCCTCAGCGGGATCTATGTTGTCATTCCAACTATTGCTCTCTAAGTCTGTGTTGATAGCGTCACTTTTATCGCAACCCGATTGTATTTGATTTTGTGGGTGGAATCGGGAATCCGGTTACTTATCTCCAAAGATAAGAAGGATTTTCAAATTTTTAAAGAACATCTCGTTTGTAGCATATCAAATTCGGTCTGTGATATCTATTGACATAATGGAACCCATTGTCATGGCGAGATCTTCAGTGAAGGCATGTCATAAGACGATTGTCAATGAACACATTCAGTGCAAGTAATGAGTCCAAAGAAGAACCAAAATATATCATCACAATCATGATTTCAAAATTATTAGATTGGTACATATTTGTGAAAGACAACCCAAATAAGTCATACCATTAAGAAGGCAGATTTTTCCCAACGTGCATCACGCAAGTGAGTATATACAGGCAAGACAGTGTTAAAAGTCTGTAAGCAACAAACTTCCGCCGACAACACTTAGCAAAACCTATACAAGTCATAACATTATACGCTTAGTACATAAACACCTGCTTGAGCTACATATATGAATTCGAAGTTGTAGCAGTAGCAGGGTTAATTACGTTAAGAATCTTTATCAAATTCGGTTCTACTTCAACATCAAAAGCCACTAACAATAAAGCGATGTCAGAATCTTTACAGAGGACTGCTATATAGGTAAGTCATTTGCTCAAAATAAAACTATCGGTATCAAACAAATCAATACGATCGAATCGCATGCTCACGATTTTAACAACAGTTCAGCATCTATTTATATTTACGACCTAATTATCGGGGAAATGATTAAGAACCGAGATTAACAAAGTGTTTGTAATATTAGCGGGGCAAAGTAGGACACACTATATAACTCATAAATTACAGAATTTGGCGAGAGGTATCAAAATATAAGAAGTGTTTGAGGTTTCGACTCAATCAACGTTAACTTCGCCGGAAAGCAATCAAATCTTTTGTGCATCTACTACCCTGAGCGACATTGATGCGGATATTGTGCGGTATACAAGAAATGGACAATGGGATCTGCTATGGTTAATATGCTATAGGCACGATAAATAATTTCGCGGTGAGGATCGTGCTGCTATAAGAATACAAATTCGATTTGGAACATGTCCCATGAAATCTTAAAGAGTTCAGAATCCATCTCCAGAAAGGATGAAGCTACCGACACAAACGCCAACAAGCAAAGCTACTAAGTACCTAGCCGTCCCTAAAAAGGGGGAGGAACTCATGATTATTTTAATACTCATCCACGAGTTCCGAAATCATTCAAATTTATACTTGAGGTTTTGGAACTTAAGTTCTCCTAAAATAGTTTGTTATTTCAAAATTCGCGGCAATAGGTGGTGATCCATCTAATGTATTTCAATGATGGCAAGTATTATAAACTACACTTGTTACAACAAGTCCTAGCATCATTTAATCATAAACTGAATTGGTTTTCTAAATTTATTGGAAGTAGGAGTGATATCAAATGATGGAGTACAAACTATTTTTATGACTTCTGGAACTTATGTATGAATTATCTTTCAAGTATATACTTGAGTTATATAAAATTAATTTGGATCAGGATCGGTTTATTTCGGTGCGATGAAAGGACACTCTGCGCATGCAGTACGCGTATTCAGAACTCAGAGGCGATGTGTCAGGGTGATGGCTGGTATAGGTTTTGCTAAGTGTTGTCGGCGGAAGTTTGTTGCTTACAGACTTTTGACACTGTCTTGCCTGTATATACTCACTTGCGTGATGCACGTTGGGAAAAATCTGCCTTGTTATTTAAAAAGTAATGACTGTCACAATTATAATACCCGTAATAAGAATGATCTTATTATAAATTACAACCGAACGGCTAGGACGAGAGATGGACTAAATTATTATGGTATTAAATTTTTAACTGCTTTACATTCAAACATTACCAACACTATCTTTTAGACGCACGGTTATAGCATTCTTGACCGCCGATGCCTTTTATAATTTAGACGAATTCTTTAATGCTGATTTTAGTTCTAATGGCCAGACTGTTACATAGACCATTATCGATCGTTCACCTACCAGCAAGTATTCTTGTCCAGTATTTTTTCTTTTTTTTGTATTTTTTTTAGTACTTGTGTATACTTTTTTGTACAGAAATATTGTATCCTTTTATGACATGTGAAAATACTTAATGTTTGAAAACCAGGAATAAATTATTATTATTCAAAATCATGGAATTGATAAATCAATTGTATGTCAAGACAAAATATATACTACTACTATAATATACACCCCATATTAAGTTCTGATGAAGCTCTATTATTATCGCCTGTATTATAGTTTGTGAAATATTAAGTTGGTGAATGATTTGAAAATGTTAGAAGTTAAGTGTTGGTCACACCAATACATTTTACATTTTCTGCAATACATAGCATTGGCTGCTGTATGAACAACACCATGTAAAGTTATCATGATGAAAAGTTACTACATATGATACATAAAGTGTAACCTCTTTATTACCTAGTCTTCACGTAACATGTTTTCATACATATCCAATCCAAACTATTCACAACTTCTCTTGTAGAATCTTATGAATCATGATCGAATGATTTCCGTTTTAAATGTTGATGGCATCAAGTCGTAAATCTTTAGTATTAATGCGATACTATTAACGAACAGAAACGTGGGTGTACCAGCTTGGTAAGATTTATGGTCAACAACGCTGGAAGTACTTTCTTTCTTAAATATCCACATCGTACAGTTAGTATGATTCTTCTATTCACTCCTTCAACTATCGCTAACGTTCCAAAATTAGTAAATTTGAAACACAATTAGTTCTTGGAAATCCCAGCCCTTTAAAATATCATAAAGTAAATTTTAAATAAATTTAAACAACTTCATGGTGAGTTGCGAAGCAATAAAAAGCTATAAAATTTTTTCAACGCCCGGTTAAATGTTACGAAAACCGTCGTATTTAAAACATTACTCATATTTTTCAAAGCAGTGTAAATGCTGGTTTGAGAAGTTTTGTAAAAATTACACCAGAGTTATTAATACTGAAATAATTATCAATCAATGTTTACTTAAATGATAATGATGCCGCAACCCTGATGGCACACATGGACAATTGCAAGATATGAAAAACAACGAATATGTAAATTATTCGACCACCATAAAGATATTTAAAACGGTTTTTGAATATTCACCGATTTGAAAGAATATTGCAAGAAAGGGTGAAATACGATGACTTTACTGAGACACCGAATGATAATTAAATGTCTCCATGCACGTGTTGTCATGTTCATTATAAAACACTAATCAATTAATAATCGCAATAAAACAACTGATATTTTAAAATGTTGTTGCTAATTGTGTTTTTCCAAATTACATTATGATAAGTGATAACATATTGTTTATGAAAATATCCTTTAAAATTAACTTTTTAATTAAGAAAGTGTTAAGCAAATTTTATGACCTCTAAATAATTAAATTAGTAGATACATGTTTTGAATGATGATCTTATAGTAGCAATTGTTATTTTTTAGATTCTGATGCATCCGTTCCTGCGTACAACAGAAGAAAATTTGTGGTCGAACAAGGCGCACAGTTGGAAAGTAGACGGTTTGCCGCGAAGGTCCGGCTTCAGGATTCACAAACGCGAAAAGAAGAGGGGACGAAGTTGGGTGAACTAGCAGCAGTTAACGGAGGAAGCGACGCGACGAATCGCGGAAAACGCCTGTCGTGTGTGTTTGTGTCTCTCGCGGAGGCCTTAATTGAAGGGAATTATCGCCAGTGCAGCACCGACACGAACGTCCAATCGACTCAACAGTCAGGATTTCGGACCGAACGTGATAAGACGGCTTTCGAGATAAAGGCCGCGATTCGCTTATATCGCCAGTACGCGTTCCAAACCAGTATGTGTTTGTTGTTGGGCACAAAGATCTTCTCCGTGGACACTTGATATCCACCCATCTCTATTAACGGTTGGTCGGTTGGTAAACAAGATACAACCCCAAACAAAAGCAATAGAATAGGTAGAGTGGCGAATATAAAACAACGTAACGAGAAGATTTCGCCAAGACGGCACTGCAAAGAAACGACAAAATCAGAAGACATTGGTTGGGTGTGCAGAAGACGGCTTCCGAAAAGGGGTCTGGACGGTGGTGACCAACATCAACGACGAACAGAAGGAAAACGCGTTAACACCTTTATCACGCGATTAAATGGATAGCGAATGCCACAATTTGCACATCAAGATGATGCACGTCGATAATAACTTGCTACAAAATCATCGTCAACGGGAAACGACAGGGATCAAAAAACTCTACAATTCGTTTTTCGTGATGTTCTAATGAATGCGACCATAGTTTCGGTCCCACAGTAGATAGTCGCTTCTTCGGATTTTTTTTTGTAGATCTTAGAACGGGCCGAGCCCAAGCGCGCCGGTTCGGTTTGTTGTGGTATTATGGATTTCCAAATTTACGAGAACGCCGAGATCATCGTAGAGGACGGCGTCGAGAAGAACAATTGGAATTTGGCCATAGACGTTAACATGGAAAACGAGGAATACTTTAACTGGACCAACGGGCTTAAGATCGACGAAAGTCAGTTCGGTGGCGGAAAAAACTCGCGCAAGCGCAAACCTGAACACACGGTACCGGAAACGACCAAGATCAAGGCCACAGCTGTTAAAGTTTTAAAAACTGCAGATTCCAACAATCATCAAAATTCCAGTAGGAAAGTGGATTCCCAAAGTGGTAAGTAAATGCGTGATTAATAAACATTTTATGAATTGTTTAACGAAATTTTGTTTTAACATCATCGTACACCCATTTTATTCAAAATGTACTAGTTTCGCCAAGAATGAAACACCAATAAAAGTATAGAGAGTAAACATCGACGACGACCCGTTGATACTTTACCCTTGCGCATGTCGGTTATCGTTTGTTTACAGCAAATATTGGTCAAGTCAGATTATTACATACATATCGTCGTAATAATGAGTCGTATCAATACTCGAATAATGTCTTCTAGACTACACATTTGTGACATCACTTTCAAATGGATATTCATTTCAATATGTATTAGAATTTTTATTCTTAGAATTCCGATATTAATCAAACTCGAATGTAATTTAAAATTGTAATAATTTTCGAACGATTCTATGAAGAATAATAATATTTAGAAGAATCTAGATACGCACTATAGAAAACATAATTCGTTTTCAAAATATTTTCCATAATTCTAACTTAAACTTAATAATATTTATTTTAAAACTACTTTGTTCTGTTTCCTTATCTTTAATTTGCAATCATTTGATGTGTACATACAATATTTTAGTGTTTAACAATGGCGTTAAATTTTGAGATATGAAAAAATTTCACCACGTCGAAAAGCTGTTTAGATTCTATCTATATATTTCTGTTTTATAATTAGATCTATTTATCTCTGGGGAATTTGATAAATCTATGCCAGTTCCCGTTTAACGGTAAATTATCTGGACGTAATAAATATATCAAGATGGTCTTCATTTTCGAGGCTTAATGAAAACGAATTAAATGGAATTTTCCGTTAGAAGGTTTTGTTAACCAATCACGTGCTCTTTTTTTTTAAGTACTTAAACCTATCGATACCACAAAAACGTTCGTAATAAAGTATTCAAATTACATTCACGTTGTAATATAAAAACGATTTTTATTACTATTAACGAGATTAATAACGTGAGGTTTATAAAATTCAGATTGGTAGTTGATGTGACATAGATAATCGATTAGATAAGCGCATTGCAACTTTAATATAACAACAAAAAGTTATTTAAAACATGTATGATCTACTTTATATCTTTCTACGTAACCAATTTATCATGATTATGATTGAAGATACGTCCCATTTGATATAAACGAACAATAAATCTCGATTTACAAAAAAAAAAATTCCTGAAAGCCTCCGTGTTGTCTACGCACGTTCATTCTATTATTAAATTTTAATAACTGGATGCTTATCGACTCATTGGTTTTAAAAAGAAAACTGGAGTGGCTTCCATCAAAAATAACTCTCCAACTTTTTACGCAAGACCGTCGGTCCGCTTCTAGATATAGATCGCGATGTACATAAGGCCACATATCTTCCAGTTTTATACATATTAAAGCGAACTGATAGATCGTCGATAATCTCGTTTCATTTAACGAGCTCTCATTTGACGTCAGAACATTAGAGACATTTCGACGGGAATAGAACTTTCGAAACACCGTTTTTAAAAACATACTTATTTTGTTGTAAAACAGTTAGGAACCTTATCTTAAACTTGTTATCTCGACACTTTGCACACGATACTTGTTGTAAATAACTAAATTTTCGTTAAAAATGCAATAAAGCAACTCAGATTTTTTTACTTAAATTTTGTGTTCCGTAATTGTTTTTTTTTATAAAATTATTTCAAAAAAATTTTGTAAGCTATCTATTTTTAGTGAATAATTTTTATCAAAGTGTCTTTTACACTTTATTACTGTCCGTGCCAAAAGTCAAGGACGCCACTTTATAGAACGATATCTTCGCAACCGCTAGATGAAAAATTATTGCGGTAAAGTTTGTTGTAATTACTAAACATTTCCACGTAACATATCTAAATTTGAACATTTTCGGCACTGCGGTTTTCTTTTTATCGCGAGCTAAATGAAAAAGTACGGGGGGAGAGGGGTTCCGGTTAATCGGAAAAGATGGTGTGTTCTAGATAATACGTCGCGCCTTTATCTTACTTACATAAAGAAATAAAGGCGCGACGTTCTCTCTGGAACACGCACCAGCACCATCTTTTCCGAAAACCGTAGAGCCGAAAAGGTTCAAATTCAGATAAGGTGGAAATATTTAGTGATTACATCAAACTTTACCGCAATTTTTTTCGTCTAGCGGTTGTGACGATATCGATCTTCTTAATTCGCCTTAACTTTTGGCATGGATAGTAGAAATCTGAAGTGGACAAAATGTTATAACACGCAATTATGCACTTTTTTGCATTCGATAAAATGATGATTAGATAGTAACAAAATCACTTTAAATAATTGTGAATGTAAAATCGTGTAAGATCTCTGAAAATTCTGTACAAAGGTTAATCACAAATTACTCAATCAGTCCCAACAGATATCTCGACTATTGTTGGAGATATTACAAAATGTTATAGAAGGAAAGTTGCTCCATACTTAACATTCTATTATTTACCATATTCAAAAAAGCAAGTGAACATCAAATGTGTTAGAGACAGTTGAAATTATAAATGGAACGTGCCCAATTTTATTACGTATAATAAAACTATTAAAAAATAAAGCTATAATGACATATTACATTATTTATGGTATGCTCAGAATCTCGAGCGTTTCATTAACAACATGGAAAACTACGAATTCATCTAATTTTCATATTTTTCTCAATATTTATGCATCTGAGAGCAAAAGTGAAGACTTCGAAGACGTTGGCTGCTCTAAATATTGTTCATGATACTTGGGGCCGAGATTATTTCTTCCATAAAGAAGCTTCTTTTAGAACATCCTTCTAAATTTTTAAAATCTTTCTTTCACTTTTACTCTCAGATGCATAAATATTCAGAAAAGTACGAAAATTAGATGAATGCGTTGCTTTCCATGCTCTTAATAGTAACGCTTTTGACTCGGAGCATATTACAACTAATGTATCATTAATAGTATATCATTGTAATTAAATTATTGTATAGCTTTATAATTGGACACATTACATGTAAAAATTTGAATTTATCTGCTGTATCTAACACATTTCATGTTCACTTTGCGTGGCATTCGAGCGAACGACGTGCTGGATGTATTTACATGTCCATTCTTGCGCGCGGCAGAATTGTGTCCTGCGAACGTCATGTGTTGCTGCCACGCAATGTGTGAACACACCATTAGAATATGGCAAATAATAGAATATTAAACGTGGGGGATCTTTCCTTCTATAACATTTTGTCATATCTCCAACAGTAACAAAGGCATCTGCTGTGACAGTTGGACAGTTTGATGATTGGACACGTTTCATTTAAAAATTTGAATTTATCTGCTGTATCTAACACATTTGATGCTCAATTGTTTCTTAGAATATGGCAGATAATAGAATATTAAACGTGGGGCAATTTTCCTTCTATAACATTTTGTCATATCTCCAACAATAATCAAGATTTCTGCTGTGACAGCTGAAATCAAACACACTGTATAAAAAATGATAATACTTTGATTTCCAAACTCTATGTCATAAGCAAACCATTTTTTTTGTATCATAGTTGACATCGCCGGTAAACCAAAAACTTTAACATAAAGACACATATTACATTTCCGACATTTAATGTAGTCTATCTAGTTAAACGAAATCTGTTGCTACCTTTTAATTCAAATGTTGGGATATAGTCAATAACCAGCATAATCTGGAGGGCGTTTACATTTAAATTATAGTATTTTCTTTCCTGGTCACGCGACTGCTAAGACAAGTCAGGAAAAATTGGCTTCTCATTGCCATTTAGTAGTCGTCGTAAAAAGTAGTCGTATTCTACATACATATAGGAGTTAAGTATTGCACACACACATATCTAGCAGATGAGCACTTAGTTCTAAGTGCTGTGTGCATAGTATATTTTCTCACTATCGCTTGACAAGGAATCGTACTATACAGGTCGATAGCGATGAAATCACAGATTTCATATTTATTCGTATCTTGTCCTTTTAAACATTGGATACAAACTTTTATTCAGTGCAACAACTTTTATCAAGTGATGACTACTTTGACGAACTACTTTTGAAAGTAGCTGATGTTCTGGGTTGGGTTAGTTGGGTTATTTTAATTTATTCCTCTAAAACGCTATTCAAAAATCAAGAACATCCAAAAATATATTTGTATATTTCCGTTTATCTAAGAAAAATACTTAAAGCAACACAAGTCATGTTAAGTGTCGTTTATACCATAATAAGATTGTACTAATACGTTAAGTAATAGATTTGGGCAAGACAGGAATCCCGTTCCGTCCCCTTTTTAATTGTATTTGGCAACGTTGGTTTGTACTACTTTAGAAGCACATGTCGAGTAAAAGATATTGGAGAGGAAGTGATAAAGCCATGTAAAAATCCCGTTCTTGTGGTACAATCAATAAAGTGTAAGATTATTTTATGCCACAAGTTTTTAGTTGCCCAAGTTATTCTCGAACTTCATATTGGCGATGTAATCTGGGCAAAGCAACTCAATTAAGCCTCCATTGGCATTCAATTAATGTCAACGCTAACACTTTGGGAATGAATAGATATCAATCTTACATTTTTTTTACAGAACCCATAATCCTGTGCAGACAGATTCTTAAAAAGATTATTCAAAATGAAGTGTTTTTCAACTTGGGCAACAAGTTTCAGTTTGAGTTCCCAGTGCCACTAAAAAGATATTGTGTGACCAAGTCTATTTGCAATTGATTGCAAGACTTTTGCAAGACTACCAAATATCCATTTTGAATTTTTATCTTTGTGGTTGAATATTTTAAAAGAAGTGTTAGCTGTTTTTGATATAGTAGTATGAGTGTCATTAAAATTTATGAAATGAGATTGTACTAATTTGCTAAAATCACATCATCCTACAGTACAACGTTTTTTGAGTGCTTAAATCAGGTTCTGATACCTTATCCGAACTGACTTAATCCAAAGTAATATTTTTTACAAATAAATGAAAAAAATTCCTAATTTTACCTGAAATTTCCCCACCTAACTATTATTAACTATCGAGAATTCTCTTTACAACAAATGTAACGTTCAGAACCAGATTTATTCTGTTAGGCATTTTTTTGTGCCTTTCAAGAGATGCTATACCCGAAGTCGCAAATGTGACTTCCAAACATACAATGTGATTGTCGTAGCGTCTCGGTTCACAATCGACCTCGACTTCATTGTCTCGACTAGTGGGTAAAGAACATCGCGATCTTGTCATATAACAAACTGATGTAGATAAAGGCAGCGATAATATATTTATGTTTGTCATGAAAGATCGTAGCCGATGTTGCTACATTTGAGATTTATAAGGATGCAAAACAGTTCATGTTGTTCCTTGTATTAGCAAAGTATTGCCGATCAGAAATATTGTTCAACGTATTATGTTCAAATTCTCTAATGTCCCTTGAATCTTACTATGAAATTGCGATTGGTTTAGCAAAATTTTGTAGAATCCCTACGAAAATCTCTGCATCTATTCTTTTATCCACGTGGAGGTGGATATGCTTGACAGTAGCTTTCGTCTATAAGTAATCGATTTTCTCATCCGCAGCACGGCGTCGAACATACATTTTCTCCCCAGATCTTATCCTATTGAACTTCGGTTTGTCAAACACCATTTTCACTTAAATTGACCTGTATTAATAACTTATTTGTGAAAGTTAACTGAGTTCATTAATTCTACTTCTCTTCTCTAATGCAACAATTTATTTCGAGAAATTCTTCCCATGAGTCCTGTTTTATTTAATCTGCGTTGAATGGTCCTGACACTCATTGTGAAATTCAGATAGTGACTCATCGCGATGTTATTTTGACGGCAGTTTATCGTAGATTGGCTTCTAATTTTGCCATTGTTAATACTTATCAATCTGCATTTTTAGTTAAGTTCTTAATTGGCAAGCAGTCGTGTGTTGAGGAGTAATGATTGAAAATTAAAGTCTAAAAAACGATGTCTAAAATCAAAGTCACCAATCATTCTTATGTATTTTTCATACTAATTGTAAAGAATTTACTCCGTTACTTTTGGAAGACCCTCTATGTTGGTAATGAGTCAATAGTTATGCTCATTATCTTTCATAGATTCGAGTACCAACCCTAATTTTATCCGATCGATTCGTTTTGATAATAACCGTTATTGAAACATTGTGTTGAATATCATAAGTGACTATAAAAAATTTTATATAAATACTGAATTTAGTAATTACCTTTTATTTCACTTAGTATAAAATAACACAACTTCACCAATCAACAGCTTCTCTCATTTAGACACGTAGCAATTCCCATGCAGAAATGGAGGTAAATCAATCAGGATAAATTGCCAGTAAATAACAAGATTGTCTGTTTGAATTCAAAATTGCGCTTCCTCACCTCTGATTTCGACAAAAACCTTATTTTCGAACTACTGGAAATAAGATAATCAAATACTAACTTAATGTTTTTTCCAGGCACAACAAATCTAATGCAAAGATTCGTTTTACTTTATTGTTGAGTCATTGAATTTCCAAGAAATTTCTTGTCGAATTCGTTATATCAATAAGAGTTTCAAAGTTCAAAAACAATCTATTCATCGATTGAAATACCATAAGAAAAAAAAGGAGTATTTTTTTCTTCATTAACTACTAACAAGTTGTGTTTCTAAGAAACGTAATAAAAGTTCCTTTCATTAAAACCTAGAATAAATTACCACACGTTAATCTTTCACTAATCCGCGTACAAACACAATCACATTCAAGGATAAAATGCGCAGTATCGATATGACTAACAAAACATATCAATATTCTGAATATTTCTTCTATATAATTGCATGTGGGAATTGTTTACGGTCTGACAAAAAAATACAACAACAAAGATTTTAAAGCTTGTGTTATCACAAAAAATGAGAAACATCATCTGCTCGAGAAATACAAAGAGATGCGTTGAGTTGTATAATTTACAATCGGCCGATAAGTTAAACTGACATCGCATGACGTCAATTGCTAACGACATGACCTATTGTGTTAAATGGTTCTCTAGACAAAAAGATAGGCGACAATTGCGATTGTTGAAGGCTATATGTGATGTGTATGAGTTGAGTTTTGACTTCTCAAACAACTCAAAATATAATCATATTTACTGCAATGTTATTATTATCGCGTAATAAAAATATTAAAAAACAGAAATAATATTGTTGATTTGACAAGAGGCAAAAACCCCGATTATTTATCAACACGCTCTCAATATGCGGATGCAAGGTCAAATGTTGTAGTTCATTTTGATAATGTGTCACTAGAAATGTGAACCAATAATCACCAATAGTAACCATCTGGCCTCTAATCAGAATCATATTTCTCGTTAATATCTAATTTCGCTAATTTCTTTTCAATTTTTTAGGACCTTCAAGAATGCCTCAGTGGCAAGTAGACGATATTACGGATCTTAACGCCGATATTGAAGGCTTAGGTTCAGAATTATCCAATACTTCGTATAATATGAGGTAAAAGAAAATTGTTTCCCAACTGGTTAACTAAAGAAATTAAAGATGTATTTGTTTCAGCGATTCTATTTTGTCCATATCGGGATTAACAGTTTTCAAACAAGAAGCTCCGTCGCCACCAATTTCCAATGATGTCAATACAATTCATATTACCCGACAAAATAATACAGTTCCAGTCACGACTCAAGGAACAGTAATCACAAGTGGAAACTCAATAAGTGATAGCAATGCTATAATTAATACAACGTTGCACCAATTATTGGGTCAAGCCGGTTATAATACAGGACTTCAGACGTCCATCGAAAGTAAGCCTGGCTAAATCAACAAGTTATTATAAGCTAAATAAAATAAATCTTGAATTATAGATAGTCTGATTCCCTCTTCACCTACTTTATCGCAAGACGGTTTTGGTGTTGTTTCAAGTGCTTCAACAATTGGAGAAGATTGCAGATTTCAATACGTTCTAGCAGCTGCTACAAGTATTGCAACAAAAGTTAATGAGGACACTTTAACTTATTTGAATCAAGGACAAAGCTACGAGATTAAATTGAAAAAACTGGGTGATTTATCAACATATCGCGGAAAATTGTTGAAGGTATAAAAAATATTAATTAACCTTGCTGAGCTAATTCTCGTTAATTTTGCAGTCTGTCATTAAAATATGTTTCCACGAACGCCGTTTGCAATACATGGAAAAAGAGCAAATGAAATTATGGCAAAATGCACGCCCAGGTGATAAAATCTTAGAAGTGGACATTCCTCTTTCATACGGATTATGCAATATCGTTCAAACCGGGTTAAACACTGTACATTTTAATTGGGATCCAACCAAAGAAGTTGGAGTTTACATAAAAGTAAAAAAATTAAAAAAAAAATAATCGCGACATAAAAAATTATATTTTCTCTTGTATTTCTTTAGGTTAATTGTATCAGTACTGAATTCACAGCTAAGAAACACGGCGGAGAAAAAGGAGTTCCATTTCGAATTCAAGTTGAAACTTATCAGGGAGCCGAGGGAAGCGAAACTCCAAAACGTCTTCATGCGGCCGTTTGTCAGATAAAAGTCTTCAAATTGAAGGGTGCTGATCGGAAACACAAACAAGATAGGGACAAAATAATGAAAAGACCAGCTGCAGAACAAGAAAAGTTTCAACCAAGCTATGAATGCACAGTTTTAACAGATGTAGGTAGAACTTAAAAAGATAATTCAATAATAAATTAGAAAAAGTTTTCATATAGGATAGAATTTAAATAAATGTAAATACAATAATTGTGTTAAAAGGAAGATGGTGAAGCAGCTCCATGTGGTATTATAATATTATATAACATTGTTATAACAATTAACACATTGTAATACCTTATGATTTAGATATCATTCTATTTTCGACCTAACATTAATATATAGATATAAGGATTTTATATATAGGATGATTTGCAGTGTGTTCAACAAATTCTAAGCGATGCAGGACTTCTAGAAATCAGTTATATAAGACTTTTTTTTATTTATAAACCATAACATGCAGTAGCGCTGTCCTGGTCCAAATTCAGATAGATAGTCTAATTAGATATAGCTAGTAACATATAGTCTACTCAACTATCCATGCCAAAAGTCATAAAGTATGCACCTGATTAAGAACACATCAAGCTAACACCTGTTCAAAATTCAAATTTTTTTGTTAGATAGTTTTTGCGAAAAAAAAAATCAAAACCTCATCAATTTTTTTCATATAACGGTTTTCGATATATCGACCTTTAAACTGACGGGAATTGACTTTTCAAGTTAAACTGAGAAATACTTATCTCGAGATTATCTTGCGACTGTTGAACCAGCCCTTAATCAACTTTTACTTAATCATCAATGCGCCTGGTACATAACTCTTTATTAGCTGGATCACATATAATGATGTGATCCAGGTAATTAAGACTTATGTACGCTCTGTTTTGAACGCCATTTAAAAATTATATTTATCTTCATTGCAGAAGGCAATTCTGGGCGAGTGAAAAGTTTTTTTTGTCATATCATTCAAAGAACAAATTTCAAATTATAATCAGTTTAGAACGAGTCATATAGTTGTGGCACACAACTACAACATCAAATATTTAGATTACTATACATTAAAGTAAATGTTCTTTGTTTAATTTTGGCAAAAATGTCAATATTTGACAGTTTACGCCTGGTAATGTCAGTATGTACAATTTCTTAAGTATATACTTACTTTCTTTGGCGTTACAGCTCGGGGTAAACCTTAACCTGCTTCAAGACAAGCGCCATCCATCCTGGTGTGCAGTTCTGTGTTTCCAATTTCGTACCTCCAAAACTTTCTCCCCAGTCCATCCTTGCAGCGATGTCGAGGTCAATCTTGGCATCGTCTCCCTGTTATGTTAGAGTCGAAGCGTACAATGTTTTGTCTCTGTAGGATACCTTCAATCTTCGCGTTCCTTTGTATTCGCCATTCCCTTCGCTCATATATTGGTCCGAATATATATACCTGATTAATTTTCTGTCAAAAACCAGCCTAATGATTAGAGTATTATATATCCTGATTTTGATTGTTCTGGAGATGATTCTATTGGCATCAAGTATTCTCCTTTGTATATCGGAGTCAATGTCACGATGTCATGTCTATTTTGTCTTTGTTGTTTTGGTGACAGGTTTAAGTATCTGTTTTTAAGTACTACATACTGGTTTCATCTCTATTTTCAAAAATGAATCCCTTAAATTTGTCGAATTACAATTAAACATTACTTATTAATTACATTTACTTATTTTTTGAGTATGCTCTATATACTCAAAAAATAGACGTTATCTTGGAAAACTGCTCAGATTGAAGGATTCATGCCTCTTGTGGCATTAGGTCTTTATCAGTTGAGAGACACGGGCTGGTTAACAACGTCCAGCTAAAGAAAGATTAAAAAAAATAGTGAATGTCACAAATGAGAATTGTCTAAATATTTAAAATATGATTATGAATTGTTTCAGATATCCTGTGAATCACTCAATTCGTTTTCACCAGTTACATCATACACAAACGAATGGTAAGTACAATATCACTTATATCAATCACATATTTCTCACGTATTTCTTATAAGACTAGAACAATGTTAAGCATATTTTCAAATATCTTTCCGCCACATCGCATTTTGATTACTACACTCACCGGCATAAAAAGCGCATCACCTAAAATGATGACCAGTTTCAAACTGCAATAACTCTTGAACGTATTACTTGATTTCAATAAGATTTGTTTTTATTTGAAAGATCTACCCTTTGCCAATATTTCTGTAGGTGCCTTCCCTATTTTGGTGCTCTTCAATTTCATCAATGGTGAATAACGCTAATGCGTGTTTTTTTTCCTACACTTTGAAGCGTGCTGTGAGGTGCACCGACAAAAAGAAATTAATTTTAAACATAAGGCGCTTGTAGTCTCATCTGTTCTGTTCACTTCTGTGTTTTATTCAAGTTTCTATTGTTAACACCAAAGTTACAAGCTCTAAAAGATAACGCAGCTTATTCGGCAACGCATTCAGAAATTAAAGCAAGTCAAGAATGTCGATGAAATTTAATTAACCTGTGACAAGTGAATCAAACAAAATGTTAATAATACTGATAATGTTAATCTTTCGAGGCATACTTCAAAACAGGTTTTCTTGCTGCTCTTCTTCTAGCTCTATTCGGAGATCATCTAGCGTTTGTATAGCGGCACCACGGGCTCTATCTCGTCTCCCTAGCATATCTCACATGTGTTCTATGGGGTTTGAATCAGGGCTACGTGCAGACCATTCCATTCTGCTGATATTCAAATCATCCAGGTATTGGGACACTATGCAGGCTGTATGGGAGCGTGCATAACGCTCTCCTGCTCTTCTCCAAACTCACACTCCACCATCTGGAGAGTACAAGCCGAACCTCGATTCGTCTCTGAACAGTACGTTTCGCCACTCTGCATTGGCCCACTGAACATGATCTTGTGCAAATTGTAATCGAGCAACACGATGTTCTCGAAGCGTTCAGTTTCTGGTCTCGATGATCTTAACCTCGCTTCTTCAAATCTCCTTCTTACTGTGCGTTCACTCACGTTCACCCGACGCACTTGCTCCAGACGATTTCTTATCTCAACTGCTGTGGTATGTCGATTTCGCAACACGATCGTTACAATATATCTTCTATATTTCTTGTCTAGCAACAGTCAATGACGTTAACGACACTAAACGTCACTAAAATATTTTGAAGCTGCGTTATGCTTTAGAGCTTGTAACTTTGGTGTTAACAACAATAAAAACTTGAACAAAAAACATAAGTGATTAGAACAGACGAAACTACAAGCTCTTTATGTTTAAAATTAATTTCTGTTGTCGAACCACCCCACAGCAAACTTCAAATTGTAGGAAGAAAAAATGCATTAGCGTTATTCATCATTGCTGAAATTGAAGAGCGCCAAAATGGGGAAGACTCCTACAGAAATATTGACAAAGGATAGATCTTTCAAATAAAAACAAACCTTATTCAAATCGAACAATACGTTCAAAAGTTATTGCAGTTTGTAATTGGTCATTATTTTAGGTGATGCGTTTTTTATGCCGCTGAGTGTATTTTGTGAGCATCTTTGTATGTTACAACTACAAGCTCTCAAGTAACATTGTCTGCTAATAAAGTTCAATTTGTTATAGCCAACAGAAATTCAAAAGAACTGATTGAATTCTTAACAAAGAGTTTTTAAGTTATTGAAAATAAATTATGTAATGGTATCATTTTGTACGTATAGACAGTGTAAACTTTGTAATTTTTATTTTGTATATTGTATTTAGGATACACCTAAAAAGGCTATATATACATTACAGTATAGTATAATAAGTTGCGTTTTTTAGCATTGCATAAACTTCGAGTTTCAATTTTTAGCATTCTTTGCAGCTCGCAGAACTATTATTAAAAGAATTTTTTCCAAAAATGTTGAGCTTCATATCCTTCACTTACAAATCAACAACTCGTTTACATGCACCATAGAAAATCTCATCATAACCAATATTAACGAAAAGTTGGTTGTTGACATCCGCGGATCCAGTGGCGATTTCTCCAATACAGAACAATCTTGACTTATTTACAGTCTTTACAGATCTGTATCACCTACAACAACTTGTGCTTAAATATGAATAATATTATTTCATCAAGGTTCATAAATAAAACGAGTATGAGGATATACAATATGAAGCTCACAGCCATATTATACCCTAATTCCATTCAATTCTGATACATTGTTTAAACCATAGTTTTTTACTTTGAATTTTTGATTGATCACAAATTTTTTAAACAAAATTGTAATCTTCAATCCGCAAAAAAAAATCCCTTTAAATTTTCAAGAAGATATTTTGGGAAGGCTTGTCCTAAGTATTGGAAGTAATCACTTCTTGCAACCGCTTTAGTGAAATGTGACTTTTACAACTTGATTTTTATCCAGCCAAGTTCAATTCTATTTCCAATCTCTACAATTTGTTCAAGAATGGTTTTTATAGTTCATATTTTCCAGCAAAATTTTGAGATTTTCATAAACTTCCTTAATATGTACTGGGACTACAGGTGGTTAGCCAAATTTTCAAACATTTTCATTATGTAGAAGCACTCCTTCGAATGTAATCTACGTTTTGATGATCCTTCATAAACCCTACATTGATTTGGATCATAACTGAAAACTTGCTCCAAATCTCTCCCTCCTAATTTAATAATGATAGATGCAACTAAAGTCCGACAAGTTATGCTAGTAACTACTCTGGTCTTGAGTTGATGACTTCCAATGGCAGTTATCATTTTTTTTTTTTTTCTTAAATCCACGTAAAAGATATACCTTACTAGAAATTCACCTCTGAATTGATGGACGTGATTTGCAAAAGAACTTGTACTAAAAATAAAAATATAAAAATTATTTGGAACAGCAAAAATTACAAAAACATTAATACTCAATTTGCATGGAATAGTTATTGATTTGTGTTTATTTATGAAATGAAGGAAGTCATTAGATCTTTCAATTTACTTTAAGTAGTCGTTTAAACAAAGTCATTCACCCCAAAGAGTTTAGCACATTTTAAAAACAGCTATGAATGTGGGTTGCTGGTAAAATTGGCACTGCGCACTGCAACATTCATTACACTCATTTATTACAAACGCAATTGTCCTACATACTTTTAATGAAGATATTGTAAAAAGCAGATTTTGAATCAACAACGCGTTATTAAAAGAAATATGCAACCAGATTTACAATACTGATTTTACAAACCACTTAACACGTCGCTTATATAACTTATTCAAATGAATCATCCCATATCTCTTTTAATCAAATCTTATATTATACAAACTATAGATAATACTTGTATTTATCAGCGTTATCTTTTCTTTTTATAAACATTCTTAGAGTCAATTCATACCCTTTACTATAGTTATCTTTATGCATAGTAAAAAAATCAAAAAGTTGGCGAATTAAAAAAGAATTTATGAATACAAACTATCAACGCCTACTGGTTAATTGAACCGGTTCGAGCCGGTACTTCCCTGCACATTGTCACGAATCATGGGCGGCCTTTAAGCCCATTTAAAATAAATAAAACGGTTTCTATTAATACACCAAACAGAGAAAAGAAACGAAAACGACCGTTTCGTCACGCGAACACGTAATAAAAAACACCGAAACGTTTAGCAAACATTAGAACCAGATTAACGGGTAATCTCCATCCTTCTATGGCTTTAAAGTTTCGTGTCCGAATGACGTTGTACACTTGGGCGGCTGCACCTGGACTATGCGGTTAAAACCGAATCTTGTCAGTTTGCGTTCGCATTTTATTATGTTGGAATTGATAGTTAATCCTGTTCATATGACCATTTCATTTCCTAAATTGGATTTAATACAGTAAACAATTTTTTGATTTGTGTTTTATTTGAACTAAAGATAAAAATTATAAAATTTCTGATTCATTTTTTTTGATGTTTATATAAAGCAATAACATAATGATGTAATTAAATTAGTTTCTATATGAATACTGATCGGTTGCATTTTTGTTATCGTCCCCCCAGTCGTTCTCGTTATCGCTTTTAAAGTATTTTTCCACGATGTTGCATACAGAGTTGAAGAATCTATAAACCGAGTTAAATATAGTACATAAACTGGAATTGCGAGCAAAGTTTTTTTTTGGTCAATCGTTGAATCCGGACAAATCAAGTTAATACCTGCCAAAACGCAACACTGAACCGCGAATTATCGCATGTTATTGTTGAACGGTCACGGGACCCCGTGGTATTTTTCTACTGAACTTGAGAGCGTCACTTCGCATAAATATGTCTTCTGCAATCTGCAATGAAAGACTACTCGGAAAACTTTTTTTAATTATCTCGATAACAATCTGCGATAACAGTTCCAGTTTACACTGCATTTAGTATTGAGTAATAAAAGTTTTTTTTTAAGAAATTATTTTGGGTTCGCAAATATTTAACGAAGTGTTAACGCAAAATTGTTACTAAATTCCTTTGTGAGTAAAGAATTTATTTAGAAACATAATTGACGCTAATTTGGTTGTTGCAAATAACTTTTTTTGTTAAAATCAACGTTAGTTTCGTTATCATTGTCGAAATCTATGAAATTACCAGATTATACTAGATATAAAACAACCACGAATTCAATACAAATTATGATATCGAAATCTAAAAATAAAAATTTAAACAATAAAATCTCTTTTAACCTGAATTAAAAAGGTTCTCTATCTGTATTCTATCTGGTATAGTCCAGACTATTGTGGGAGGTTCAAATGTCAAAAAAGCGAAATCGCTTTATTAATTTAGAATTAATTTGGTACAATTGGCAGTAACAATTACCGACGCATAGACACTATTACTACCGATTAATGTTTATTAGGTGGGCTAGATTTGAAAATTGTGTCTAATGAATCTTAATTAAGTGTTTTGGCGACGTTCTTTCATCAGTAGTAATAACTGCACAAACTCTAAACTGGTCGTTTGTATAATTTCTGGCACGAAATCTGCCTGGGTTAACTGGATA